CGCGGACACACAGACATTTTGATTTTTCATAGAAATTCATATGAAATATTTAAAATAATAAATTTTTTGAACGGATTAACCGATTTCGACGTTCGAGGTATCGTTGGAAAGGTATTGAGCTCTAGAATAAGAATATCGATGTTTTAGGGGCAATGACCTCATTTAGTGCCATCTTTAGTCATGAAACTGAATTTTAACCCTTTTCTTGAAAGGACCATATTTTGAAGACAGGCGGACCGATTTTCAAACTTTTATACTTTTTCTTGATCTATAGCATAAGGGCTTTCCAACCATACATCAACCGGGGCCAACGGCCTTCTAGATCTGGATTTCGTATATTACGTGTATATATAGCGAGTTCGACTTTTCAACACACTAATGTGGTTTCGTCACTCGCGCGAACTGCCGTCCGCTGTGATTTAATTGGATATTATATTAAAATATTAATTTTTCAATTAATTTATTCAAATACCTGAGCAACTTTCGGTCCGAGAATCAAACAAGTTCGTAATACTACTCGAGCCAGTGAAATTTTTGGATTGTACAATGGAGGTGAATTACGACCTTTCCACAATTTTGTGATATGTTTTGTACATTTTCTTTATTTTCTGTAATTTTCAGAGAGTAGAAAACACTACCGCTATAGTAATACTATATTAACAGTGCATATAAATAGCTACTATTTGTACACATTTCGATTCTGTGATCACGACAATTTTCGCGAACTCTAATGTGAACAATGTGACTCTTTGTATTTAAAATCTACATACAAAGAGTTGCATTGTTCACTTTGGAGTTCGCAAAAATTGTTGTGATCACACAATTGAAATGTGTACAAATAGTAACTATTCATATGCACTGTTAATATAGTATTACTATAGCGGCAGCGTTTTCTACTCTCTGGTAGTTTTTTTAAATCTCACTCCAATTTGCCGGTTTCCAATTCTTTCGATTGCAGGTTATAATCAAACTAATAAGGTGGACCAAAGGCAATCACTTTTTATCTAGTGCTCATGAAACTGATTTTAGTAAATATTTAAATTTAAAAATTGATTTCGTGCGAAAACATACACTTTACTTGTCTAAAAACAAGTTATTTCATATGCGCAAAAGAGAAACAAATATTGCGCCACAAACAGGCATGCTACATTCATAACGAAACAAACGCAATATTGTATGGGTTTTTCAGTACCCTGAATTCAAGAACCGCAGCAGTATTTTTCTGCTCAGCAGCATATTTACAATCACTGATTTTGAAATGAATGTAAAGTATTATTACTTATCACTTATCAGACAATATATTTGGATTTTTTCATCTGGATATTTCAGCTCATCTGGATTAAGGTATAAAAATACTACCATAACTATAACAATCACTTCTATTGTTTCCACTCCGTATCATCGCCTAACGTCATCCAGATGACCTGAAATATCCAGGTGGCAAAATCCAAATATATTGTCTGTCACTTATACATACAATACAAAGCGATGTCTGAGACTTTATGAGCAATTAAATGTACAAATACTATAATAATATCTATATCTTTATATTTATGTTTGTTTCATTGAATGTAATGCACATCAAACCTGTGAATTGAAGCAAGATAGCAAATAAATAATTTAATACTCTAAAAAATACATATGGCAAAACTCAAAGTAATCAAAGTAAAATTTACCATGTTTACAAAATTACAGATGCTGAAATGAATCAAGATTATATAATTTTGGAGATATCGTGAATTCAATGTGCGCGACTGCAATATCTTATTAAGCTTGTCGGATTTTGTTCACTTTGAGTTTTTTTTGGCAATTTCGTAATATTGAAATTCCAACTCACGTCAGAAATCGATTGCGGAGCCACTGCTTTGCGGAATTACAATTTCTTGGAATTTTTTACAAAATTCTGTAGTGTATTAAAAAAGTAAGAAGTGAATAAAACGTTGTAATTTAAATAGAAAGTAGAGATTCGCAAATAAAACTTGTCTTTTTCTTGATCACAATCTTTTTTATTTATTATTAAAATCTCATTAAAATTAATTCAAATATTATTGAAATTTATTCAAAAAAAAAAAAAAAAAATTCAAGAGCACGTGAATTCACGCGCAAAAGTGAAACGTTAGAAAGTATTTCTTTACTCTCTTGGCTTCAACTCCAAATTAACTGCATTTGCAATGTTCCAAAAAGCGACGGAATTACCAATTTTCAAAGGAATTTCCGTCTTTTCATGCGGCTGAATATTAAATTGTTGTAGCAATTTGAAGAACACCACCTTGAGATCCATCACAGCCATCCGATAACCTGAAAATATATCTTTTAATTAATATCTCTCCTGAAAAAAAGTGTGCATTCATACGAAACATTTTCAAACAATAAACGGACACTTTAAAATTAAACTGAATGAAAATAAACAGAAAACACACCGATACAAGCACGTGGTCCAATTCCAAAAGGAAGATATGATCCTGGTTTGATATTTTTCTTATTTTCATCGTTGAATCGTTCCGGGTCGAATGTTTCGGGATTTGGATATATCTCAGGATTATGATGAATTGAATAAATTGGAATTATAAAGCAAGTGTTTCGTTCAATCGAAATTTTTCTACCATCCAATTCCAATTCATAGTCCTTGTTGCACACGCGATTCGTTAAAATTCCAGCTGGCCATTTACGGACCAATTCACTCACTACTTGATCAAAATACTTCATTTTTATTATTGTGTCATAGGTCAATGGGGCACCATCAAGGTTGTCACTAGTCTGTCGAATCTCTTCATATAACTTTTGCTGAATATCCGGATTAACGGCCAATTCATATGCCAAGAATGTCATGATGCTGGATACTGCTTCGAAATTGGCCAAATAGATTTCCACACACTGTGCCACGATATCATTATCATTCCAGCGTTTCATTTGTTTTTCACCGACATTTGTTTCACCCACAGCGGAGATATCAGCCGGTTTCTTATTCGAATTTTCGTCAATCGAATGTTTGATGGTACCATTTCGCATTTGTAACAAAGTATTGATCATATCGGGTCTAAAAATGTTCTTCTTTTCTCTTTCTTCCATTATATTCAAAACCATCGCTTTGAAAAATCTTCGCAAATTTCGTCCAAAATATTCGATGTCTATGGCAAGCATTAAATTTGGCAAAGTTCGAACTAATAATATACGTAGAAGAGATTTTACTTTAGTAAAATTCATCATATCGTTTCCCAATATGTAAAATTCATTGTCGGGACCTTTGAATGAATTTATTTTCAATCCAAATGCACATGATGTGGCCACATCATTTCCGTAACGTGAAAATATTTCCTTCATATTCAGTTGAACTGAATTGTTTTGCTTTGATTTCAATTTGAAATGTTCAATCATATCATCGGCACATTCCACCACCAAATCGAACATATGCCGCAATTTGCTGCCAGTGAAAATGGGACTAATTGATGCTCTCATCTCTTGCCACTCCTTGTTTTGCATAGCCATCACAGTTCTTCCCAAAAATGTATCATTCTTGAGAGCAAACGAGACCCAATGATTTTTGAAATAATCGGCATCCTTGATCAAAATCTTACAGATGAGATCCAAATCACGCAACATGTAAACTGGAGAACACTGGTCGAAAAATCCGATAATTCTAAATTTACATAATACAATTTCGATAAAAAAAATGAACAGAAGTTGAAAATCAGAAAAGAAACAGAAAATCAAATTGAATTAAAAAAAAATAATTTCTACACACTTTTCATTTGGAAAACGATAATAAACCGACTCCAACCATTTTGCGGGATTTGTTTGCATAAGGAATAAATAAAGTGTATTCCCCACCAAAAAAACTGGTTTCAAGTGTAATATTTTACGTTTCAAAAAATAATCATGATTTGCAGTTGCCCATTTGTAAAATAAATAGAATGCAATTCCAATCAGGGTACAGAATAAAAACATTTTGAAAATTCAATTTAAAAAAAGAAACTTTTTTAAACACTTTTCGTTTAAGATTTAACTGAAATTCAGTTACTGAATAAATTGGCTCTCAATGCTGCTTATAAATACATTTCGAATGCGTTCAGTATTAAGAGTCATGAATCTGCAGACAAATAAAAATAAATAATTACAAATTGTCTTACATAAAATAATATACAGAAATAATTATGATATTGTCTATATTTGCTAATCAGATGACAATTTCAGTGAAACAAATGTCAATGCGAAAACTCGTGCCTGAAGTGTGATGTTTTAATTTATTGCATTGTTTTTATAATTACATTTATGGTAAATTGTAAAACATTAAAGAAAGTCTCGTCTGTTAAGTCACCGTCATTCAACTTTTATGATTGTTTTTGAAATGAAAACACATTGCAATCATTCGGGGAAATTTCTTTTCAAAGTTTGTTTTTTGTTTAAAACTAGGAGACTAGCGACAAATAGCGACTTTACTTTTGAAAAATATGCTTTTTTGTAGATTGGCGTAAGAAATTCGGGAAAAGGTTTCATTTTGATAGAGTTATGCGTAATACAAATGGACAACCCGAAAAGCTTTTTTGACAAGCTACATCGAAATCCGGAGCATTAGTATGAACTTTGTTGTTTCTCATATTATATGACATGGCTATTATATGCCATCCGTCTCAGGCTGATTGAAAATTTCAAGTTAACGATAAAACTGTAGTTTATACTTTCATTGCACATTGTCCCGGTGGTCCGTCCGGGTATTAATGCGTCCGAGCCGTTTTAATTTTTCAAATAAATCCAATGAAATGTAAAAATGTTGTAGTCGATGCTCTCCTGCTCTCCTAAATATTCAAAAATTGAGAAGTGGAACATTGAATATTGTGTAAACACTTTCGTCATATTGAATAAATTGAAATTGTCGCAGTTTGTTATTTTAATTGAAATTCCATTGGAAAAATACAAATGTAACAATGGTGTATAAATGTGAAATGAGTTGTGAAACGTGTGTATACGGTTAAGTAAAGTGATTCATCAAACAAGAATGGCAAACATAAGTTTTCATTTATCCAGTATAGCCGATTCGATGTGCACACACACACATACATACACACACAAATGCGAGTGTCTCAATGAAAACATTATAAATGTCATGATAAAATTAGAAACAGAGAACAATAATAATAAATTTTGAGGCCAAAGTGCAAATGCATTACAATTGCAATGGCATATACATTCAGAAGGTCTGCACTCTGTAGCTCGGGGATGGATTTCGATTGTTGCAAAGGAAATGCAAATAGAATGGCATCGTTTGTACAAAAATCATAACAATACACAGAGAAAAAAAATTTGGTAAATGTAAAGGGTAATTTGTAAGTTTAATATTACT